ATATTATATATATTATATATATTATATATATTATATATTATATATATTATATTTATTATATATATTATATATATTATATATATTATATATATTATATTATATTATATTATATTATATTATATTATATATATATTTGTTTTGGTGATTTTCCAGCCATCTTTGATGTTTCCCTTGCAGCCTTTGAAAAAACAAAGGGTACCAAACACTCATCGTCTGGTGTGTGAGGAAATCATCAGCTGGTGTTAGGACCAACAATCTTGCTGCACCCTGATGATAAACGTAGCACAAAGGAGTAGAACGAAAAATAATGAAAAATAGTATGTGCTTTACTCTCAGTATATGTATTAACGTCTATATATATATATCATAATATTGAGATGATTTGATTTATAAACAGCGGGAAGATCCATCATGTTCAATGGGAGATCTCCAGGATCCAATACATGGAGCTACGGCTACTGTACCATATAATTGTTTGGCCATATGAATTCTGGGGAGATTCCCTGAAAATTGCTAAAAAAATAATTATATGGTAGTGTACCATATGAAAATGACCATATAAAATTTTGGCCATAGTTGTTGCCATGAAAATGTTTTTCAGCTACCGAGCTATTTTCTTCGTATATAAGGTGAACAATCATTTTAATCCCCATGTAATGAAGTTCCACTGTAAGTTCAAGAATCCCCAATCAACGAAATCCCACCCAACCCCAATATCACAAAGCTCACTTACAAAAAAAGGACCACCCTTAAATGTGCCATGAAATTGGTTAACTGTCCTTTTCTAGTGGATTATAACACAGCTATAAACCAGTTACCCTCCGGTAGTTTCACATATAGTTCAATGATGTAATTACCTCTATTCATCCATTAAACATTGTGATTTTCCAAAGCATTGTTTCAACATACGAGAAGGTACCCATTCAAACCGCATGTCAATGGGATCTCCAAAAAAATATAACATTAATATGCCTATGTTTCATGATTATCCCATGGATTCCCAAGGATTCCCATGGATTCCCAACCTCCAGGACCCACCCAAACGGACCCAACGCTCGGCACCTTGCGGCATTGGCACCGGACTTCGGGTCAGCGTCGCCTGACAGGTCTGCCAGGTCATGGTGACGCATGGGTGGCGGCATCGGAATATGTATCGGAAGAATGGAGATAATATTCAATGGGAATTTCAGGATCCAAAAATGGAGGTACGTTAGTACCATATTTTTGGCCATATTTTGGGGGGATATTCCCTTACATAGGCCTTACATAGGCCTTATATATGGTAGGTACCTCCATTTTAGGATCCTGAAATTTCCATTGAAATATAGGGATATGTATAGATTATGTATAGATCATATATGTATGATGTTCACTGAGAAATCACTGGAATATGGAGATACCATGGGATAAATTTGTATCGGATAGTGATGGGATTTTCTATAGGGATATATACTATAATATAGAATGCATAAATAAATAAATATATATATATAATATTTTATGAATAATATAATATATTATATGGCTATGGGTCGAAACCCTGGTACCTAGTGAACCACAAAAGCTCGCTGATTTTCTTTTAACAAAAATATGTTTATCCCATTGAAACTGACAATACAGTAGTATGTTTTGACCCAGCTCCATATCCCTTAACATCTATTCTGGTTGGTGGTATACCTACCCCTCTGAAAAATATGAGTTCGTCAGTTGGGATGATCAAATTCTCAACTGAATGGAAAAATAACATGTTCCAAACCACCAACCAGTATTGTACCCTCTGATAATCAAACTTGGCACTTGGACATCCGCGAACTCAACGGAGGTTTTTTTTCATAGGAAAATCATCGAAGAACTTCCCAGGAGTTCCATCGCAGCTCTGGTTGAAATTGGTGGTTTCCCCTTCAGCCCTTCGGTTGATCTCCAATGACTAAAAGACGGGTACCCCGAAGCATTGGTTTTGCCATGGATCACAAGCACTAAGTTGGATGATAACTTGGGGCACCCCCATGACTTAGGAAACCTCCATATGTCATGGTGTGCTTCTTTTGCGCCCTAAATATGCTCTTTGGTATTTTTTTGTTTTGCTTGGCCTGCTGGAAAAAAAAGAGAGTAGACATTGGTACATGACCATCGCTAAATCAAGAAATCAACTCTAAGAATTCACACCATTTTTAGTTCGGAAAGTCTAGTCTTCCAATCCCCAGCTCGGTCTATGTTGATTTGGAAGCTACTTCCTAAACACCTGGGGATTTCATTGGGATTTCTCAGTGCCAGAGGTCTGCCTCCTCTTGCGACTCCCGTGGCGATGGGTACCTCACAAAGCGCTGGATCGGTGGGAGCGGTGGATTGTTGGTGAACCCATCAAAATGGCGCCGTTGTTTATCTGGATGGTGGTATACCTAGCCCTCTGAAAAATATGAAAGTCAGTTTTGTCAGCTTTGTCCATGAGTGCTTGCACGCTGTGACATGAGCCCGCGATATATGAAGTCAGTTGGGATTATGACATTCCCAATATATGGAAAAATAAAACATGTTCCAAACCACCAACCAGTTATGAATGTTCGTCTCCTAAATGGGGATGTCATGGGGTTACCCATAAAATGGCTGGTTTAGAAATTGATTTCATGGAAAATCCCAATCTATAAGTGAATGATGACTAGGGATATACCCCTATGTTAGGGAACCCCCGCATATGGTTATTCATAGGTCTTAACCTATCCTCATATTAGCAATGAGGCAATGAGTAAATCTTGGAAACCTACAGGTATAACGTACAGACATGTGAATTGTGTCGCCGAAAACGTGAAAAGATGGAAATACCTAGGGACCATTGGAATGGGTCGCCTAGCATCCATAATCTTGGATTTGCTTAAAGGACCCTTAAAAAAATTAAATCATACTGTGAATCATACTCCCTATAGATTCCCCAAATGGTTGATTTTCCATTGGGAGACTCAAAAAATACCTTCAACGTCTACCTTAACTAAGCCCAGGTACTATACCAATCACCTATTTTGCTTGGAAAAATCATGGTCCCCACGGATTTTGGATCTATTTCACTATATTTCACTACATGATCCACGCTGCCCATACTCAGATTGGGATAAGTAAACTGGTTCCCCCAATGGAATCCAATCGACATACTTATTGAAGTTCAACTTTTACCAGGAGATCTGCTATAATTGCTACAGAAATCCATCTAATCTCTCCAAACTCAAAGATACTCCAAGAACTTTGTGTCTGTGGCTCGGATTTATCCTAATCACCCTCCGGTAAACTAACATAGCTATGGAAAATGGTCCATTTATCGATGGTTTATCATGTTTTACCTATGGAACCGGGCGAATGTCCAAAGCAAATACTGTTGAATTACCAGGTTCAATGGATTGGTTTAAGGGAAAATCTACAGGAAACCATAGATTTTCCCATTAAATATGGGACTTTCCTGTAAATTTTCCCTTCAACCAATCCATTGACAGGTCTATTCCAGTTGAAACCTTCCCCGCCTTCCCCAAGCATTCCTTACCCCCCTCCCGCTGGTCGAAAGGGCACAGTGATGGTTTGTGCCCCGAAGACACTGGACCAGCCTCACAGCCAACCCCAGGTGGTGCCTCCAGACCAAAACGGGGATTTCATAGGGATTCTATCTGGATTTTATAGGAATTTAAAGGGATCACGAAGCATCCATGGTGATTTATTTGGCTGTTATACGGATTTTAGAGGGATACAGCATGATACATCAACAATATGAACTTGAGACGATCAAAATTGAGTTTAACTCTGTTCAATAAATTGAGATTTTACCATCCATCTTGTGAGGATTTCACTATCAAAAATGAAACCAATTAGAGGATCGTTCTACTTCGATTTCTCTAAAAAAACAGGGCTGATCCTAAGTCCCCGATTTTGTAGTTTATCCCCTTTATAATTGGGCAACTCCGAATCACTGACCACCAAGCGGGGTGATCCAAGTAGCCACTTCAATGTGAGGCTTTTCCGGTGAACAGTGACAGCAAAACCCAATGGGTCCAAACTCCGGACTTCGGGGAGAGCTTCCGTCTGCTGCTAACATTTTTCCCTGCTGAATTATTTATGAAATTGTGATCACATTCTCTCCAACTTGTCACATACCAACATCTACCCCAGCTAGCACCATGTGGGGGTGTACACGTTAAAAACTGAGCAAAATACATTTTCCAGATTGAAAATTCAGTAGATGATATGCTGGGAAGGGACGGACTATACAGTTTTGTTGCATTTGTTTAAGGTACCTTTCAGGTAAATGAACAAAACATCAACATCTCTACCTGCATGATCCATCACCTTTTATTTTTTTGGTAATAACTACATGATTTGATTTACCCCATCAACATCGAAACATAACTCAACAAAACGCTGATTTGAATGTCCATGAACATATAGCCGTCCCCAAGATCGACCCATCGCCCACGATTCTCCCGCATTGATTGGGTATGGTTGTTGATATATTAGGTGGCAATACATTAATTAAACATATTTGGGGAGTACATATCATATAGTATATTGATGTATATGTCCCATGAATTTTGAATTTGTTGCTAAAACGATAAACTACCATTGTCCGGGTAGTTTTATCATGGTTTATCCAGAGATGCCGAATATCCTCATGTTTTATGGTTAAACTGCAATCATGGGTTTGTGAACTTCCATTTTTGGTGGTCAAAAACTTGTATGTACCCTTGGATTTTTCCCACATCACTAATCATTTCATCAGTTCAAAACACTTTTATTTGTTGCAAAATTTCTACATAATGTGATTTCTGAACCGCGTAACCAAGCAGGAACTCAATCTCCCTCCATCGCCTCAATCCTTGCGCGTTCCACATTCAGATGCTGCCATGCCTGTCCGTCTTTTAAGGGGCCCTAGGCTCTGGGATTTCTTCAGTGGTGAGTAACTAAGGAGAAACTGGCATGGCAAAATAATGCCTTATCCCCGAGTTGCAACTAGTTATATAACTGATCCTCATGTAAGTATATAAGAAAACGTTGTTTTTACGTGTTTTTTCTCAGGGTTTCCTGCGCAATGTTCTATGTCCCAATTTTTGGAGGTTTGATTGAATATGCGGCAAAAGGATATAGCCTTATGGTCACCGTTCAACTTAGACAGCCGGCGCCTGCGTCCGATTTTTCCATAATTGGATTTTTCCCCATAAGGGTTCAAAATATCCCGGAAGTGATCCGAACCTTTTTTTTCCATAATTCTTGGAGGTGGCCATTATTTCCATAATTGATTTTTCCTGTGAAATCAGGGGGCTAGGGCAGATTGACCGGTTTTTCCATAATTAGTTTTTCCATAATTAATGTTTGGGGCTCCACCTGTTGGACATGTCATGGATCCACAATTCAAACCCGTTTTTTTTGGGGTTATGGAAATATGTATGCAAATGCAAGTATGTATATTTTCTATAATTCAATATTCCCCCTTAAAATGCACTCAAATTGCGAACATCACATGATATTATGTATATCAATGGAAGACTTAGGGGCATATATCTCAGATCTTTAGACACATATTTTCTATACTTCAATATTCCCCCTTAAAATGCATTCAAATTGCGAATCGATGGACATACAGTCACCGACAGAATTATGGTAAAAAAATATGGAAACAATAATTATGGAAAAAAAAAGTTCGTAACTTTTCTATCATAGACAGGCGGCGCCTGTAAATTGAAACGTTTTTTTTCATCCATAATTCTGTCGGTGACTGTACATGTGTTTTTTTCCTGACGAAAATGATCATTCACCGATGATTTAAGGGTTGTTGAAGCTGCAGCATGGTCAGTTATGGAGATCCGAAATCCGCTTGCCAAAACTAGCCTCGATTTAGCACTGAACTCACAACCATCCAAAAAAAAATATGTGGGTTCACCAAACATCAGCTACCACATCATCGCACGGTTGTGGATTCATTTTTCTGTCTCTTCCTTTGACGTCTTTCTGGTGCGTTGCCAAGGCCATCAAGAGCCAACCTCGTGAAATAAGGTTTTCTTCATGTTTTGATTTTGTGACTTGCGAACCAAATGGTTCTGACCGTGTTCTAGTCACAATTGGTGTTACACCTATCAAAAATTAGAGACATGCAATAATATCGCCTACTGCTGTGGCTCAGCTCAAGGGGTAGACTTGCACAATACTGGCGAACTCTCCTCTATGTACACACCTTCGGTGTGACCTTGGGGCGCCCGTACTCTCTATGGGCAGCTGGCTGCCCCAAATCGCTGCTTTGGATCTTGGCTTCCGAAGTCCACTCCGCGGGAGCTGCATCCAAACAAGACATGAATCGCAATGCCATTTCATCTCTTGCTCTTATGGAAATCTGCTCGTTGCAGCATGCCTGTCCCATTCACGAGCAATGTATGGCTGTGCATAGATTGTGTGTGGGCACAATCACTAGCACACATGCTCTCCTCTGCCGTGCAATTCCGTGACTGCAACCAGGGCAATTCCAGTACCTTGTCATCACATCCGTTTTGGTTTCTCGTGACGCCGCAAAACTGCGGCTACCATCTATGTTTTCCCACGAACAAAAAACCTTGTTTTTGGAGGCAAACAACGTTTCCAAACTTGTACTTTGCACAGCCTTTTTTGAACCCCAACGCCCTCTTGATGGAGTCATAGCACTGGGTCAAGCATAGGGTTTAAAACCAGCCAGCAGCCAGAAACTTGTACAATTGCCAACGCCAAATTTATCAACCCGTGTTTTTCATATTGGGGTAGGTATTAAATTTAATTTAAACTTCACCAATGGGGAAATTTAGGTGCCTAAACTGATGCACCACAAATTGGATCGAATGGGTGTGCAAATTTCACATGCTCCCACATTTTGAAGTTTGATGGGGTGAAATGGTTTGTATATAACCTGCGATCATTGGTTGTAATTATACACCAGAACAGTTTTTACAACATAACAATGTAAAATGCAACCTCGAAAATTTAGAAGAACAAAAAATGTTTCAAGTTCAGAAAGCCGTGATATATTTGATGAACATGCGATGTTCACTTGGTGAAAGCCCGGTGCATCTTCCGGAAACGGCCATCTATTTGCGCCTCTTCGAGACGTTGTCGTTCGCGCGCCAGCGCCTGAAGAAACCAAGGTCTTTTCCCCATGACTTCCCTTAAAAACATGGTGGCAGCCCCGGTGGCCGCTTGGGCGCACAATTGCGCGTCTCGGCCATGGAGATGCTGCCCACAGATGACCTTTACGCGAGTCGCCCTTTGACCTAATGATACTAGCCAGCTGTTGCCAAAAACCACTCGTGGGCTCAAGAAATCGCACCGGTTTCTAGTTTTGCTTCAATTCTGCCAGATGTTGCGCCAACACGAGACTTTAGACTGCTCGGGCTTCCTTGAACGTCGAAATTATTTTCAGTGATAACGATCTCGCAAGAATGTGGACACTACATGCATCTTTTTTCATGCACATTGCACTTTGAATAGACATATATATATATATATAATTATATATATATATATATCAAAAAAACACTAAAATTAAATCAACATGAGCATTAAATAAATACATAATTATATATATATAGTGTATATCAAAAGAAATATGTACATATCATGTCCGTATCATATCTGAATGGTTTGATGTGTGACATGGAATTCATAATGAATGTCCAAAAACTCATTATCACGTGGATGTAAATAAATATAAATATAAATATATTATACATCGTTCCTTGGTACTTGCTCAAGAAATCTCTCTGTGTTTCTGGATGGTTCCAGTATGTTCTAGTATTGTGGGCATTCCGACCCTTATTGGCTACCTACTCATATCTTACGCATGATGATAAATGATGCTCATCATGCTCATCCTGCTCACTGCAGTTCGTGTATTGCAACAACGCAATGCTACTTGGATGCGGTAGTTTGCATAATGCTCATCAAAACCACAGCATGTATCCCAACCCCACTCCATCCACAGAATGTAATCACATACCGTGTGTATCACTGAAGGCATCTGCGATGTGGGAGACAATCATACAATGTGGTGACCCTAGATATCATTTAATTAAAAACCCACTACGCATATGTATCTACCATGTACTGTCATTACATCATGAACTGGTAAGTTAGTGGTATATATCATTGAGTGATATCATATATGTGTATATATGTATATATGTATATATGTATATATGTATATATGTATATATGTATATATGTATATATGTATATATGTGTATATGTATATACATAAATATATATATGTATGTATGTATGTATGTGTGTCATACTTACATCTTAATTCATTTTATTTAGTTTACATCACCACCTTATTTACAGTAACACTTTTTTTTATCCTACCGACACTTGGTGTGGCAAGATACTGATTCTGATGCAACATGATCTGGAGAATCTATGATCAAACATGGTTATTATGTATGATTGATATGGACAATAATGGGGTAATAATGGGACAATAATGGGATATTGATGCGTTTACCCTCCAATAATGAAACGTCGCTGGAAAATCCAGCATTTAGTTCGATGAACCTCTCCATCTCCCAGCTATCAAGCTCAACCCCCCACACCCCACGCCGAGAATCAGGTTCAACAATGGAAAACAACCATGGTGCTGGATTTTCCAGACACATTTCATTATTGGAGGGTAAACCCCATCAATATCCCATTATTCTCCCATTATTACCCCATTCTTATCCATATAAACCATATATAATAACCATGATATGGATCTGTATCACCATGTACCACCATGTATCACCATTTACCCCAAACATGAGCCTTTCGTAAACATAGCAGAGCAGCTGGGATAGCTACGACTTTTGGATTTTTCCGATGAGTGGCTCGCCGCACGACGCCTGGGACACCTCCGTCTCTCATATCTACCCGGCCTGGTAAACTAACAGTTTGCTATTGAAAATGGTTATTTATAGTTGATTTACCCATTCAAAAGGTTGATGTTCCATAGTTTTTTCTATGTTTACCAGAGGGTATACGTAGTTCGATTGATTTTATGTAAAAGAAACCAACGTAGAACATACGGCACCGCCTTTCATCGATTCAATTTTCCATCAGACATGGTGGATAAACGCTTGCGGTTGAAACCTCAAGAATTACGGTTGATCCTATGAGTTTCCAATGATCGCCAGGGTTCGAGTTGTGGCAATATCATCGTAGAATCGTAGATGGGGAAAAAGAGAGGCTACAGGCATGTAAGGCGGTCGAGCTATATCTTTGTTGGTGAAAGATCTATTCTTGCAAAAACATGTAGAAATACTGGTGAGCACTATGGGTACGTCTGGAAAAGGATTGTACCCCCAAATGGATATGCTCGTTGAGAGAACCTGATTTTCAGACAAACCCATCAGCCCATCAAAATGTCTCCATCTGTCCTAGTATTAATCATTTAGGCTACACCACAAACCTAACTGTCATATTAAACTGATGACATATATCGTTGTACCCCAGTATATACTTCCAATGAATGGTTGCCCCGTTCTATCCCCTATATTGCTGTTTGTATCCGATCAAATCCCATATCAAATCCATTATTTATGGGTTCAATCCCTATTCTTCATGCTTAAAGTCTCGTTTTTGCAGTTTGGTCGATTTCAGGGGACTTTACCCCGTGAACTACTTCGATATATCTATCATAAACCCTATGTGGTGAAATATTCGTGTTATGGGGCACAACCTTGTACCCCGATCAAGTGTACCCGTACCCATGTTGAGCCCAAAAACCGATCAGATTTCATTCTCCACTTTCTGTTGGTCCTGAATAGGCCAAAGTGTACCACCCTTTACCAAAACATTTCCAACACCTTCCACTAGATTTAAAATCTCTGTACACTGCAGTCATAGGTGGTTGGTCAAAAGTCCACAACCGCAATGTGGGCCCCCCAGTCAAATTTGGTTTATTACCCCAATGACTACTATAGTTATAAGTATCATAAACCATACCCATGAAGCTTTAAAACGCACCAACTTAGCTGTACGTCGATCTCGTTAAATCACCATTTAATCCCTATTAAACCTGCACACTGAAGGGCCACACAATTACCATAAAACCACCGTAAAACCATAGGGCACCACCTTTCCATGATATTTTCATTAAGCCCCACTGAATCCATCTAAAAATCCGATTACCCTCTGGTGATTTGTTCCATAGCTATTGAAAATGGCACATTTGGTTCGTTGATTTACCTATTAAAGATGGTGATTTTCCATAGCTACGAGTATGATAATTTATCAGAGGGTACCATATTCATAAGTAATGAGAATAACTAAGTACAGATATATGATATATCTAATAGATCTACCACATAGTAACATAGATGTCACCTAGTCACAATCACTGGTTGGTGGTTTCAACCATCTTGAAAAATATTAGTCAGTGGGAAGGATTATCCCATATATTTTGGAAAATAAAAAATGTTTGAACCCACCAACCAGAGTTTGTTGGATTATAATCCCATCTCACTATAGATTACTAGAGATATATCCATCAGAAATCATCATAAATCCCATATACCATTGATATCCCAAATGTAGATGGTTGTATTCCCATAGCACTCATGAACAATCCTCATCTTTCCATTACTCAACTAAAATCCATTAAAATATCCATTAACATCCATTAAAATCCCCAAATGTAGATGGTTCACCATTGATATTCCATTGAAATCATATACAAATCATCTTTCCCATAGAAATCAACCCATCCTATTGGTGACCGGCACCGCCAAGGTGCTGTGGACTCCTCCTGAAGTCGTTGACGTTCTCGTGCTGCCTTGATGGGCCGTGAGTTTTTCAGAGCCGGATCTCCCAAAAAAGATGCGTCAGGGTCCTTCAATGGGATATACTGGTAATCTAATGGGATTTACTGGTGATTTAATGGGATTTATGGTGATTTAATGGTGATTTATGGTGATTTAATGGGATTTACTGGTAATCTAATGGGATATACCCGGCCTGGTAAACTAACAGTTAGCTATTGAAAATGGCCATTGAAATCGTTGAATTACCCATGAAAAATGGTGATTTTCCATAGTTATGTCAACATTTACCAGAGGGTATATTATGTGGGATATAACGATGTGGATATCATGTCATATGGAGTATATAACTGTTCTTTTAGGCCTATTTTGATTTAATATGATACTGATGATACAAAGGGGATATCACGGTATATATGTAGCAACCCTTGGACAAAATGGACAGGTCAGAAAATCTGGAAATGATCGGGAACACATCACGGGGTAACCGGCCAATTGATGTGGTTTCAGCAATAAATCACGCAGACTTGTTGGTTAAACACCAAACAAATAGGAATTACGTAGTCATCTGGGTTAGGGGTCAAAATGACTCATTAATCCTTTATACTTTTCCATGAAAAACTGGGTGGCTAAATGTTAAAGGTGCATCATCAATAAAACAGGCAAGGTAACCTTCTACAATGTAACCCTCTATAATTATAATAAACAATCAACGGTGGTATGTTTACTGGTGGGTTTGGTAAATTAACACAAGTCAAATGGAAATTACTATGGGATGATTGGTTTTATTGTAGAAACTTCCAGGATCTGGCTGTTATGGGTGACAATAATCACCAAGAAAGAAGGTAGTATAATCGCCTAACATAATTATATTCAAAGCCACTAGATAGAGGATATTAAATCTCCTTAAACAAACATAATATGCAAATGGGGTAGGTGTAAACTGTATGAAAAAATGCAGGACAAATAGAAGACATCCATCCGCAAAGAGTAGCTCCAAAACCATATAATCAACGGGCGAAGTCTCCCGAAATCATCCGAGATCCAGTCGTTTGTCCGATGTCTAAGGTTAAGATTCCAATTCTTAGTGACGTTAAAATTCATGCTGTTTAATAGTCAAGTCCCTGTTGATGCTTCTATAAATTATACATATATATATATATGTAGCTACATTCATATATATATATAATATATGTATATATATGTAGCTACATTCATATATATATATAATTATATATATAATATATATATATAATCTTCTCCTACATGTTTTTTTTACATATAACCCCTATAAAAGCTAGATTAAAAGTCCCCCCGCGTCCGCCTCTGCGGCGGCTTGATTCACCAGGTCCTGCAAGCCCTTGGTGAAGCGTCGGGCCACCTGGAGCCAGAACATTGGCGATGATTTAATGATGTCAATTGGTTGAAGTAAATCTGGTAGGTGGTTTTAACCATGTCCAAAAATATTAGTCAATGGGAAGGATTATCCCATATATTATGGAAAATAAAAAATGATTGAAACCACCAATCAGAAATATAATCAATAAATAAATCATAGTTGTTTGGTGCATTTCGATGTACCTTACTCAATGTTTAATGAATGGTGTCAACTGCTTGAAACAATCAATGACTACCATATTAACATGAAAATTACCACCATTTCACTACTTTGAGTAATGGAACATAATGGTAATATTAACTACTAGTACTATTTCTAATGGTAAATAATGCTAATTACTGGTGATATTAACATGAAAATTACCACTAATAATTACTGGTCATATTAACCAATATTAACCAACATTAACCAACATTAACATTAATTACCACCATTTCACTACTTTCATTGAATGGCACATAATGATATAATGGAACTAATGGAACTAATATATACCATGTAAGATGTTTTATTATTGTTTTACATAAATCATATAGTAATGTAACTAATGGTCATATTAACCAACATTAACTACTGCTTTGTTTCAATGAAATTCAACCAGATTATCAATATTCATATAAGTGGTTATTATACCAGTTAAATATCACTAGTGGTATTATATATATATATATATCAGTTAATTTACCATTACTGGTTGGTGGTATACCTACCCCTCTGAAAAATATGAAAGTCAAATGGGAGTATGACATTCCCAATATATGGGAAGTCATAATCCATTCATGTTCCGAATATGAAAGTCAGTTGGGAAAATCAAATTCCCAATAAGGAAAAATCATCCAAATGTTGCAAACCACCAAACCAGATGATTGTGATTATGCTTGATTGATGATTACTAATGATTACTATCACACTCAGAAACATTACTAATGGCTGGTTGGTGGCTTTAACCATCTTGAAAAATAGTGGTCAATGGGAAGGATTATCCCATATATCATGGAAAATAAAAAATGTTTGAAACCACCAACCAGGTTAATTTACCATTAGGTTCCCACCTGGGTGCCGGTGGCACCTCCTGCATGGCCTCAGCTGCCTCCATGGCCAGCTGCTCCGCGGCGTGCTGATCGAAGGTCATGACGTTCGGCACCTCGCGCTGGGCCGCTGGGCGAGGCCAGGCGGCCAGGCCCGGCCCGTGCGCCCCGGGGAAAACGTGGGGAAAACGTGGGGAAAACGTGGGAAAACGTGGGAAAAACGTGGGAAAACCATGGAAAACATGGGACAAACCATGGAAAACATGGGAAATAAGTGGAAAACAGACATTGGAAAAAAATGTGGGAAGATGTGGGGAAAACCATGGAGAGAATTCGGAACATTGTGGGATGTGGGGAACACTTGGGGGAAAGAAATTAGGAAAAGTGGAGATGTTAGAGAACATCTGGAGGTAGTTCATGTCTTTGATCTAAATATTATGAAGTGAAACATTGTGAAACTGTTTTTTTCCGATGCTTTTGGAATGGTAGAATCAATTGTGACTACAAACATTGAACAAACAACACATCGTTTGTGTAGTTTCTGGAATCCAGTCATTCTTCACCTGTGGACCTGCTGCTGGTGCTGCTGCGCGCTTCCACTGCAGGTGGCGGCGGCGGTGGCATGACTGCCGTGGTCTTAGTGCACACTGCCTTGGTCCACTGCACAGTGGTCACACCTGCAGGTGGCAGCGGTGCTGGTGGCAGTGGCACAGTCCTGGCGGTGGTCCAGCAGGTTCTGGTGGCCGCATGCGCCCCCCCATTTGGGGCATCTGCTTTGGGCATGGGGGTGGCTTCATCACACCGTACTTCTGGAAGTACTGCTCTGCAGTGCCATCCGCCATCCCCACCCTCCTCCTCCTCCGATTCCTCCACGTTGTTCTCCTCGAGATCCTCCACATCATCATCATCCATATCATCCTTTGGCAGTTCACCTACTAACCAATAGCTGCTAGCTTGGATTAAAACCAAATTAGTTGCTACAAAACAATCAGCAATCACTTTAGAAACAAGAGATTGTTTGAAAAATTCGGAGAACCCCCATACCCTTCGGTAATTTAACGTAGCTATTGAAAATGGCCCATTTATGGTTTGAAAATGTTCCATAGTTTTTTGTTAACGTTTACCAGAGGCTAAACTTGATGGTTTGGAAAACACGTCCCCCTCTGGTCATAACTTGGGGTATCCAACCGGGTAATGGATCCATTCCAAACATTAGCCGGGCCTCTTTTTGCGTTTACACAGCGTCGGCACCGAAGATGGCACAGCTTGGGACTTGTTGATTTTCAGCTCGAAGTTGATATGACATGGATAGAAATGGATGACAAACTGCACATGTCATATGAATATCATGTCATCCATTTCATATGGATTCACAATGACAACATATGGATTAAATGACAAACATGGATTCACATGTGTTGATTGTTTTTTTGAATATCAGTTGTACATAATCGCACATGTTTCTGGCTGTCATGGAGATAAGCCATGTTTTTTTCGTCAAAAAAAGAACTGATAATTTCATGGAACTGTCCATTGCAATCCTTTGGTGCCACTGATGCTGTCAAAAACTAGAAACGCAAACAATTATGAGTCATGAGCCTATCCCGTGACCTCTCTTTTGACCAGGCTATTTCTTCGTCAGTGTGAGATCTTGACCAACTTTGCAGCAAAGTCCTAGATTGAACATGGGTTCCACCTTCTCGAAGCTGTTGAACCTGGAACCGTTGATGGCTGAACGGCAAACAGATCTCTTGTCATCCAATGGTTACCTTGTCGAAATATGTCATCAAACATGGTTGGAAAGGACATCCCCATCGAAAAATTGAAGAAGATGTCCATTTCCAACCCAGGACTCCCTTAAAATTAAAGGTGATTAGTAGATATTAGTAGGGCATCTCGACAATAATTCCTCCTTCATCGGTTTTTGTTAAGCCAGTCAACCATGGATTCAACTTTATGTAACATGGAAGCAATTTTACATGAAAGTCATCTTCCAAACACATCCAAACACCATGAATTGGGAGTTCCTTTCTATTTTCTATTCATTTTGAGGAGGGTATAGACGGTATGAGTTTGTCTTAAACATGTGTGACCATCACAATTGTCCCCTGAAATTTGCTATTTGGGGGGTGTGCCGGTGTAAGCATGTTCAAACAATTTCTTGCTCTGGCACCGTGTGAAATACTGGAAATGAGGCTCAAGCCCGTGCCTTTCTTTTCATTGGTCCAGTTCAAAACGGGGCAGGTTAAACCATGTTCAGTGAAGCTCATTCCAATTGGACAGCTTCAAATCTGTGTAAAACTCGAGAGTCTAAAACAGATTGAATAAACATGAGTAACCACTTAAATACCCTCCCGCAATCAAGCATGGCAATGGAAAAGCCCCGAACTAAATGGAGTTTCTACCGGGAAAATCATTGAACAAAAATGGTTGATTTTCCAACAAGCCATGTTTGATGACACTACAGGATGAATACCCTGTTTGAATACACATCCACGATGTTGAAAGAGTCACACATCAAATGTTGATGGATCAGCTGCATCAACCCTTGATGAGGTGGTAGGCCACTCACTCCTTTCCAGTCACCAGTCATAGATCCTCATTGAAAAGGTTGATTCCTTGCTATCTCAAACAAGTACCATCTGGTTATTTAACATAGCCATGGAAAATCACCATTTTTAATAGGTAAGCCATCCGTAAATGGGCCATTTTCCATGGCTATCTTAAATAACCAGAGGGTATTTAAAAAGTGATGTTCACCTACCCCTCTGAAAAATATTAGTAAGTTGGGATTATGATTCCCAAAATATGGAAAAAAATGTTCCAAACCACCAATCAGGAATTGTCGCTATAGTCACTACCCTCCAGTAAACGTTGACATAACTATGGAAAATCACCATTTGTTATGGGTAATTCAACTATAAATGGACCATGTTCAGTAGTTTTTTGAATGTTTACCGGAGGGTAATCATGTTGACCTGTTATTTACTATCCCATCGTACTCACTGTTGATACTATCTTCATTTTACTAGCACTAGCCCTTTTTTCTCATCACAGGTGTATGTGTCGAAAAATGGGATACCCCGTCTAGAAGTCCATAGCATCCATCTGCTGTGGCGCAACTTTTCCACGGACACGGATGGGCTCAGAGATGTCAATCAGCAAAAGCCTGTTTCGAAAGGGAAGAACGGCAGGGGAAAAGGTATGGAATGAGGGATAGAACCAACAATCATGGGGGTATTTAGATATAACACCAATATTACATAACACCGATAATATATATATATATGTAAGAATGATCATCCAATTATCATGGGGAATATCACCAATACATACATATATATATATATAACCACTAAGAAAGGGAGGATCATGGGGGTGGGATATTTTTGGATGTGCATTACAGGAATCCTATAGGTGGTTTAAGCATGTTTAAGCCATGAATTTCTCTGAGATATGGCCTATGGCTATTACCCACCTGCCAACTCGGATGCACCGAGAAAAGTAGGTCAACTGCATGAAGATCCCAATTAAACGAAGGCATACCCTCTTTTGCTCCTCCCTTCATTGTTTGCTATAGCTATCCCCGTGTGTTTGTTGCTTCTACATATCTCCAGTTTTGTTGGCAAGTCTATTTTTTGTTGCTTTAATCATATTTAATCCCTTTTTTAGTCAGTCAAATCCCATGAAATCTTAATGTTGTTTGGGGAAACCTTCCATATATTGCTAATGAAAACTTCACCGTTTTTTACGGCCTCCCATCTTCGTTGCTTAAACCGTGGCCAATCTTAGACGGATGAACTAGTTGATGTGACTTACAGATTGGATTTGAGCAACCACCATATACATCACAATGTGGGGATTTGTCCACAAAAACACTATAAACCAACACATTTTACATAGATATGGACATATATAGCTGAAATGTGTGTTCAAAAGAGACGGAACTAACGTAAACATAATCTTAGGAGTACCCTAAACGCATTTGCACCAGATAAAGTCACAATGATAACCATGTCCAACATGTCGGTTAACCCATGATTCACCCCACATACCCCCAAGTTAGCTATAGTCATGATACTATCCATATCAATATCTTTCCATCATATATATATAATCATCATCATATTATCCTCAAATCCAGAATATGCTTTATACATACATCAGCATTATCTAGATGATTTCCCCATTCTATATCGTTATGCGTTATAGGTGTTACATAGATGTTGTAATAGATGAGATCCACATTTGAACATCTATATAACATTACGTAACATCTAAAAACGTGCTAAAAATGGTTATATTCCCCATGAGTTTCCTATATTGAATAGATATTCCCTATACAATAGAGAATATAGATGATATATATATATATATGAATATTCCCATTTATAGCATATCTATATATATATATATGATATATATATATATATATTAATATTCCCATTATATATACAGATATATATGATAATCCCCATGTTTTTCTCCCCATATTTGGTGCTGAAAAGAGCCATCCGGAAAAGCCATGGGCTTCGCCGGCGCCTCAGTCCTTCTTCTGGCTCACCTTCTTGCGCGCCGGAGGGCTGCCACCCTCGCGGAACCTGCCATTGGAATCATGGAGATATCACAGGATGTGTATAGGTGATTTTAGATGCATATATATATATATATATATAATATCTATATTATATGTTTGGTTTGGTATCTAGACATGCATATATAATTATTATGCATATAATAATAATATATATATATGTAAATGTATAGGTTGATATTATGTAGTATATACAATATACAATCTATGTGTGTATAATTGTACTCAGCAACTCAATTTGGTAATCACATGGGTCTGTTCGAAAATGGAAAAACATCTAACCCCCTACCCCCACATGTTCGACTGTCTTCCAAATCTCCAAACCACCTTTGTGATATCAAAAACTTGGTGCTTCACCCCCACGGCTCGTAAGTAGGTGAAAGAACCCTGGTGATTTCACTGGGCTAAGTAGGTGGTTTCCCTGAGTTGAGATGAGATCACAATCCCCAACCAATCCACATGACGCAAAGCATACCGAGGGCTTAATCCTCAACTTATCAGGAGTATGGGTAAGATTACTCTATATACCCTCTGGTAAACGTACAAAAAACTATGGAAAATCCACTATAAATGATGGGAAAATTCACTATTTCTATGGCCATTTTCAATAGCAAACTGTTAGTTTACCAGAGGGTAGGTGGAAAACCCCTGTTGATTTCACTGGGCCTAAGTAGGGGCAAGGTCACTTAGTTCACTGAAATAACTGGGCTTATAATTAGTTGTAATCCACTTGCGGTTCCTGGGATGAGCCACCAAGTACCACATTTATAGCATTGTTCCATCCTCTTGGTTAATCCTTTGATGAATCCTCTATGAGAATTATCTCTGTTGACTCAATGGATTGGGAAAATTAGGAAAATCTTCACCGGAAAACCATGGTCATTTTATAGGAAAACCATGGGAAAATTTACAGGAAAACCCATATTTCATGGGAAAATCTATGGTTTCCTGTTGATTTTTGCTTGAACCATTCCCTTAATACTCAAGGGAAGCTGGAAAAACAAAAGTCGAGTTGAAGAGAAGCGAAATGACAAATTGAAACTTTGAAAGGATTGGCCAGGAGCTGGTTGAATAAAAATCAATTCAAATCCCAAATTAATCCACCTACTGTGGCCATTCACCAGTTAAGGTAACTATGAAACTCTCCTCTTAAGTAGATTTTAGACACAAATTTAATGGGATATTAGCAGGATATACTGATGATATATACTGGTTGGTGGTTTTAACCATCTTAAAAAATATGAAAGTCAGTTGGGATGATTATTCCCAATATATGGAAAGTCATAAAATTCATGTTCTAAACCACCAACCAGTATATAGATTATAGATGGTTTAATGAACCTGGTGCAGTATTTCTACAGCCACAGCAGCCACAGTAGCATTCACCGCGGCACCCGTTCTTGAAGCGACGGCCGATGTGCTTCACCTGGGTGCCGACGCGCAATGTATCGAACTTCTCGGGGCTTTTCCCTTCGCGAAAACCATGAAAACTGTGGTGACTTAATGGGGCATACATGTGCAGAAAATGGTGATTTCTATGGGATTTAGTGGGATATGATCATTCTGATATCATGGGATTTTATTGAGGATGTGATTCTTTGTAGAAAAAAAACAATCATAACATATGGGGATTTGTATGATATGGGGATTTGAAAGGGATTTCGATGGGATTTCGATGGGATTTGATGATGTATAACTAGGATTTTAACTTATGAACTATGGTTTAATAGTTAATGGTTTACTGGGGGTTAACCATTGACAATTATGATGTAATTGGATATCCATCACATTGGACTATGTTGGATTTAGTGGGATATAGTAGTACTTAATGGGATATTCATGGGGATATACTGGTTTGCAACAAACCAACTAAGGATTTTACAGGGATTGAGTAGGGATATAAGATATAACCATCAACAATGGGCTTTAAGTGACTTAACAATCAAACTTTGGGATGATGCTTGACCTGTCCCCACGTTCATATTAAACACACCCTGACGCCCATCCATGCACAGGGGATGTACATGGATTTACAGATATGACTGGGAGCATACAAGGGGCGCGTGTTTCATAACATATTGGTGAAATCATAAATTGACTTTTGAGGTTATGGTATTTTGATATCCCAAATAATTAACATATGGTGAAATCCCAAATTACCCCAACCATAACATATGTATTTTGATATCTTTTGGGGGTTAGGGTAATTTTATATACATGGCTTCCTCAAGGTTGAGCATCCCCCAGTTCATTAAAATGGGATCTGATTCAACCACTAAAAATATCTAAGTATATAGCCAAAAAAATGATCAAACATGGGGGTTGATGTTGTTTTTGCCACTTGTAAACATGTAAAAAGTTATGGAAGCCATGGCCCATTGATACTTGATGTACCTACTAAGATGGTCAAGATGGTGATTTGTCATAGCTATGTTAGTTTCCCAGAGGGTACATAATCATATTCATATAATGTAATGAATATAACTAAGTATAGATATACCATCATATCATATTATATACCATTATATATCTACCATAGACCATAGATTTCAGCTATAGTCACAATCATTTTCATAGTTCTGGAGGTTATATCTACCATCTACCATGCAACTTCCGGCGAACTCTCCATGGCTTTCCGCGATCGTGCTGAGTTCCGCTGACGTAGCTCATGCGGCCGGTGCCAGGAGCGCGTCTGCGCTTGGACTGGCGGGCGACGCTTGGTTGGGAGTGGCAAAGGGCAAATGGTGGAGAATGACGGTAACGTAGCCACGGATCCTATACGTAAGTTATGTCCCTGGTGACTTCAGTGAGATAAGTAGAGTTAAATTGACTGTTAATCCGCTTACAACCAGGGATAAAACATGATATAACCTACTTAGGATTCCTGAGCCACAAGGTAACCATTGATACAGTTATTGCTCTTCATTGCCTGCACGGCTTTGTCAGGGTTAAGCGGATGATGCCAATGTTTTGAGAGACCGGTAATAGGTACGAATAATTGGTGCAAATCATGATAACCCGCTACAGTCTCTACAGAACACAATCTTTATCCACCTTATACACCATACAGTTCCCAAGAACCGTCAACAAATGCTTCAACAACTCCAAATTGTTGCGACTTTCCCGGGGATCTTCTCATGTTGCTTTTCTTTCAGTATTTTGAAGGTTTGCTGCGACTTCCTACTCGGACTATCCATCTCGATATTGGTTTGCTAGTTCACGGTACTTCTCCAAAAACTTCTATGAAATCATTTCTGGCATCTCAACTTCCTGGATTTTTTAGGGACCCCCTGTGTTGATGGGACCCCCATCTCCAGGACTGGACTGGATTGCCCCTTGTCCATGCCTTCATCCTAATGGAAGAAATGATGATTTGCAACATGAAATGATGCTGTGTTTAATCTTAGGGAAAATTTGGGATTGTTAGTGATTAGTGAATCCCATAGTCTTACTGGTGCTTAGTAGGGAATTTTCGGGAATGATCCATGTCATCACTAGTAATGTCATCATCCCAGCAACCCCCAGCAACCCATCCATTCCCTACGTTTAGCACCAGTAAGTTTTGGTGTATCTCACCATACATCACATTTAGACAAACCCCAGATCAAACCCCCATATGGCTAGAGATAAGAACATGACCTACTGTGTTATAACCATCCACCCTGGAATTCCATAAAAGCCCCTATACATTGCCATAATTTGCCATATCCCAAGTAGTCAAATCATCCCGATTGACCCCCGTAACGCCGCGGGTCCAAGCCTTCTTGGACCAGTTGTACGATCGGATCTTGGTTGCTGGGAATCTGCAGCAAAGTCCGGGGCTAAGGGGTGAAACTTACCATCCTCTCAACTAACATCGACCCCGCGAAGTAGGGTGGAAGTTGGAAGATGACTTTTGCCAATCAGCCAGATACCCTGCAAAAAATGATTTCTTAGCTGGTGAGTAGATAATCCCATTGATACCAAAAGACTAAAGGATTGAAGTACCCATCCATCATCTAAGATTGACCTACAGTTGGAAGATGACTTTTCAGGGTCGATTCTTCAAAGTAAATGTTCGGAAACATCCTATATGCAAACCATGGTGCTAGCAGGCTTGTGTTATTTGACTGCTGGCTGCGCTACTTAAACCCAGGGATGAGTTATCCAAGTACGCCACAAACTTTGTTTCGCGCCAAATTTGCAAGGTCGCTGCAAGAACTGCCCCAATGACTGGGGCGCTAAAGCTGTTGCCGCAGCAATCTCTCAACAAGTTAGGACTGAGCATTGTCAATCCAAATCTGATTTGATCTTCTTTGGCCAGGCCCTGCAAGGCACAGAAGTCTGAAGCCGTTAGCACACAGCCGCGAAATATGTACTTGCCGTTGGGAACGATGCAAGGTGATTCGCCATCTCGAAATGCCAAACGGTCCTTGGCATACATTTTGACAACCACTCCGATGTCCAGTATAGTGCCAATTTCATTTTATTGGTGTCTTGGTTCAACTAAGTTCATTTTACTAGTTCTTCGGAAGCCCTGTAGGGCAGTTTAACCGGCCATTCAAATTAATTAGCTCTGATGGTGTTCTTCTTTCCAAGGAAATTTATAAAGCCAATCTTTGTTGAGACACCCTACGTGGCAGATCGCGCCTCAGCCAAATATAGTTATATGACATATTTTGGGGGGATACGTTTTGAGATCGCATATAACATCTTCTCAACCACATGGGTTTGTAAATATCTAGTTCTGGGATTTTCTGGGATGTTGCGCAAGGCTTATGACTTACATGTTTCTATCTAAACTGGATAACCTACCTGGCGCATTATATCTTCTTATCCCAACTGCTTCATGGAACTTTTTTATCGGATACATTGTGTCGCATATTTGCATTTCCTTACCTAAAAGGCTTCGTAACTGTAGCTGTACTGCCGGGACATGTGCAATTATGGGAGTTATGGCGCCTCACTTTCCAATTGGGTTCTGAGAAATGTGACACAATTGTGTCTTGTAAGTGTGGGGCATAAAGCATACAACAGCTCCGTGAAGCAGGAGCCAGGAGCCGAGTTATCGGCAAGGGGCAATGGACATGTTCACTTGCCACACCAGGTTGCAGCGAAGGAGGTCGATTGGCTCCCCATAATGCTGCTCGCGAAGTTGCCAATGGGCCGCAAGCAAATACTGTTCCCTCTCCTGAGCGCAGCGGCTTGCGTTGGACAATGCGCCCACAAAATTGATTGATTTTTGGGCCCCATTGGTGACACCACATCCTCCGTGTTCATGGAAGCAATCTCGAAACTAAATGAGAAAAAAAAAGTAACACGGGCGCTCGAGGCCCCTGACAAAATCAACATTTTTAGCAGCAGCATGTCATGGATTTTTCAACCCTCGCAGTGTCTTGTTAACATCGCTATTTGCAAAATGGCAATGAAATGCCATGAGGACGGGCGCCGAAACACACTTTCAATAGTATTTGCAGGGGATTCTGCACGTCATCATTTCCAAAACTTTTTTTCTGACAAGATTTGTTTTGGTCCTCATTTTTGCTGTTCTGTGGCAAAGCTGTTGGGAAGTGCAAGAGAAGATGCGGCAGCGTAACATCCAACATGTTGGCAAGTGCAAGAGAAGATGCGGCAGCTGACATCCCACAGCTTGGCAAGTGCAAGAGAAGACGCGGCAGCGTAACATCCCACATGTTGGCAAGTGCAAGAGAAGATGCGGCAGCGTAACATCTCGCATGTTGGAAAGTGCAAGAGAAGAAACTTGCAGCGTAACATCCAACATGTTGGCAAGTGCAAGAGAAAATGCGGCAGCGTGACATCCCACATGTTGGCAAGTGCAAGAGGAGATGCGGCAGCGCAACATCCTGCATGTTGGCAAGTGCAAGAGAAGATGCGGCAGCGTAACATCCTGCATGTTGGCAAGCGCAAGAAGCGGCAGCGTAACATCCAACATGTTGGCAAGTGCGGCAGCGTAACATCCCACATGTTGGCAAGTGCAAGAGAAGATGCGGCAGCGTAACATCCCGCATGTTGGCAAGTGCAAGGGAACACTGTTCTGACAAGAACGCAGAAAAAAGAACGTTATTACTCCCCCCACCCCCCACCCCCCCACCCCCTAACCCCCTATACCCACCCTTACAAAACACTACACTGCGGGCAGTGGGAGAAGAGAGACCACAACTCGTAAGTAGGTGGTGGTTTCAATCTTTCGACGATATGAACATGTATAAATTATCAGGGGCCCCGAGTGCCCGTGTAACCAAAAAAAGGGACCAACTTGTTTTCAGCCATGGCTTTCGAATCAACATTGGGATTGTTTCTTTGCAGTTGAAAATCAGACAGGGGCCCAACTCCATGACCTTGGATCCAAAGAACCTTTTCACGGACCTTCTCTTGAGAAATTAATCTCTTTTTCAAGAACTCCGAAAACAAAGTTCGCCATTTCGCCTGCAAGCGGGTCTTGGTCTGTGACAGTCGACCCCCAGAAATCGGACATGGCTGTATACTGGTACAAAATTGGCAAATACCCGGGGAGGAACTGGAAAGTCTTAAATGGAGTCACCGAAGTCCTACAAAACAGCGGCTGACAAAAAACACGACTTGACTGCAAATAAATTAATGTTCTCCATCTGTCGTTTTGATGGTCTTTCACAAAAGCGCCCGCTGGCACTTCTGCAGACCACGCCTGGATGTTCGATGAACTGCTACCACCATGACTGCTGGTAGGTTTGGCAGTGAAGCTTAGCAGCTGGAGCATTGGCCAGGGGCGCAGCTGCAGCTCTCGCACAAGTTGAGGAATCTGGTTGATGTCCAGCAGCACGTCGTAAAAAAAGGGTCATCTCACTTGCATGCAAAGTAAGCACAATGTGGGATTGAACAAGGAAGCTGTTCTTGCAACAGGACAGCAAGATGGGTGAGTTAACTGGTTCATAAGCAGCTGTTAACCTGTTTTATTCTGTTATATTATGTTATATTCCTGCACATATAAGAGATTACGCGTATATTCCTCAACCACTCGCGAAACCACATGGAGGCCATAGATCATCTAAGTCTAACCCCCACCAACCTAGATGCAACAATGGGGCCCGATACCCAGCCCGACCGGTAGCGGCAATAAATTGACCCAGCTACGGAGGCATTCCTGGGCAGTCAAAGCATATTGCGTTGAATCACCAGATACCCGGAATCGCACAGGGACCGCCTTGGCCAAAAGCTGCTGGAACCAATTGAAAATTAAAAACCTTTCACGGTTCTCTGCCATCTACCATGAAAGAACTATCCCTTTCATGTGGATTTGCCCAGACTAAATATAGTTCCGTAACTCCGTAACATCCAAAAATACAAATGCACGAAGCAGATTTCCTTTCCAATGAAGGTTCCCATCGTGGATAAACACAATGACAACACAAAAGTGGTAGGTTTTCCTTTTAAATAGGACAGTTTGCGTATCGGATGGGGAAATTGCAAAGTTTGACCCACAAATTATATAAAAGGTTTCGCAAGAGATTTCCCTTTGAAAGAGAAGGATATCGCAAATTAGATGGCGAAAATGTGTGGTTTCGTGACCCTAAAAAGATAAATGGGTTTCGTGACCCTAAAAAGATGACAGGGCCAGGAAATGGTTTTCCTCCTCTGGATACGTTCCAAGTTACTTGGTGGTGAAAATAAAACTGTTTCGTGATGCTTCGTGATAGCAGAGTTTCGAGAAGACTTTGCCTTTTGAAGCAGCAGCAACAACAACAACCACCACCACAACAACAACAACCACAACAACAACACCAACACCAAAACCAACACCAAGACCAAGACCAAGACCAACAACAACAACAACAACAACACCAACACCAACACCAACGACAACAAAAAGGACAAGGACAAGGACAACGACAAGGACAACGACAACAACAAGGAGGCCACGAAGCATTGACATTTCCGGGCATTAGGTTTCAAGATGTATACAAACGTCTCAACACTAGTCCATCTAAGGCATGATACGCAGGCTCCAGTATGTTCTACCCAGCTGCCACATCCAGCTTGATGATCAGCTTCCGGAGCTTTTCCAAGGATGCTGATTGGAGACCTGTTGGGTGCGGTAGGTCCGACTCCGACATGGCTGCCAATGTTAACTTTCTAGTTGTCTAAGCTGTTTGCAAACATGAGTCCAAAACCATAATATTGAAACTGATCTTTAGCATAACTCCTATCAAATTTGTTGCAACACATGGCTTTTCCCAATCAATTTAGCATATTGATGGGCAGTTTCTCAACTTTTTGAAAATGTGATGCATCACACTTGGGCACGTTGGTTCCTGTATTTGTCTTGGTTCCATCAACAAAAACGTTGGAATCCGCTTGTTTGATTCGTTCACGGGCACGAATCCGCCGTTGCTGCCACTGTCAGCGACCCTTGTCGAGACAGTCCTGGGCCCAAAAATCAAGGCTCAGCTCACTAGGCCTAACAAGGCTTCATTCCCCAAGCAGTTCGCGTGGCGTTCTTTTTCATGGGGTGAATGATGTGAATGATGACGCTCTTAGTCGGAAAAACTTGCATGTGCCAAAAACAGAATCAAGTGGATTGACCAGAACGACCAGATACACCCCCAGCTTTTCTCATGGACAACAACCTCAACGCACAGCTGCATCCCCGCTACATGTGTGGGAAGTGCCATATCCAATATCAAAAGAAATAACTTTATCACAAGCAACCCCTTGGTTTAAGTCTTTCAATGATTAGTCCCAAAACGTGGGAATAACACAACCCTGGGTGCTAGTATATTTACCCACAAAGCTGGGTGATTTTTAGGGTAAATGTTGGCAAACATTGCATACATGGAGCATTTGGGTATGCTCACTTTAGTGACACTTAAGAGTCAAACATTGTATGAAAATTGAAAGCAACCTTGAAACCACCAGCCAAATGTCGTGGTTTGGCAAAACATCGCCACCGAGCAACATAACCAAGTACTGGTTTTAAATCCCTCTTACCAACTTTATGTCCTAAAAGTCCCTAAAAGTCATCGTTTTGCCACCATCATATTCTGTTCAATTTGCTCGCATGTTTGATTTTGTATCTTGTGGATTACGTTCTGTATGGCAGTTTGTTACTGGCATACCTTTGTCAGTTTCAACTTCCGACCCGGTAACATATCCAGCTCAAGTTTGATCTCATACACTTCACCATGCTATGACAGCTGAAATTTCACATGCAACCAAGAAATTCAGTCCGTCCAAAAAGTGGACATGTGAGAATGGTTCAAATCTATTTTATATATATACATTGCTGAATTATGTCAATAATATCGCAACATATCGTAACAATAAAATGAAGAACATCTAATTATGTATATTATGGTCCTTAGTTGTTGAATAATATGATCATATCATTAGTACCGTACGCACATAGATATTGGGATGTTCGCCTACAGGTGCCCATCATCTTTGATGGGCCCTGGGATTAGTTACAAAAGTGGTTAGCCACTGGCGAAAAAAAAACAAACAAAAAAACTGGCACAATAATGGATTCTCACACATTTCCTAACTACAAGTAGTCCACTAATCCCATGCGGTAGTAGCTACTAACTAGCTAAGTAGTCAACTAATCCCATCATCTAGCCTATCTAAGTAGCTGTTCATAATTAGATTTTAAGCATCATCTAAGTAGCTGTTCATAGATTGTAAGCGATGGCGATGACTATTCCCTAAATCTATGGAACATTAAATGTCCCAATTTGTACGTGTTTTTCTATGACTAACTAATAGTGGGCCATGTTCACTAAATCGGAAAATCCATGGCGTACCCGCAGGCTGCGCATCGCTTGTTTTGCCTCGGAGAAGATCATGAGGGGAGAGTCTCACCAGATGGTCCTACCATGTGGGTAGATGCTACATGGGTTATCCGTGGGTATTGTGATGATATTCCGTGGTAAATCCCGTTTCTGGTTGGTGGTTTCAACCTGCCCCTCTGAAAAATATGATTTCGTCAGTTGGGAGTATGTCATTCCGCCCAATATATGGAACAATAAAAAATGTTCCAAACCACCAACCAGGTTTTAGGTAATATGTGTTGGTTCACAAGTGGTAAATGAAACTAAACATGGATGTTCCGATTGGAACCTTCCAAGGGCTAGTCCCTTGGTAAACAAGTAAATGAGCACCAGAAAGAGCACGAGAAAAGGCGGAAACAATAAGCTTCCTTTTCCAAGCAAACCCCGCTGATGTAGTGCATAAATCGGGAACTTTCTAACCAGGGTTATGAACCAGTCAATTTGTAGGATGCAATCTACAATACAGTGCTCAGCTGGCTAAGTTCGTCTATAACCCCGATATATCTAACATTATCATACATTATCTAACACATAACTATATCGACTATAAATACATCTAGCATATTCTGTTCTAGCATAAGCATACCCTCTGGTAAACTAACATAGCTATTGAAAATGGCCATTTATAGATATTTATAGTGAGTGTTCCCATTAAAAATGGTGATTTTCCATAGCTATGTTAGTTTACCAGAGGGTAAACCTTTGTTCTTGGAGCTATAAAGCCACCAACGAACTCGCGAGTTGCCGTACCATGGGCGGTCTCCCACCGGGGATTTAACGAACAAAAATCCAGTCGCTGTACGTCCCACAAAAAAAGCCAAGCGGATTTAATAGTCCCGTGGTACCTGAATAATGATCTTGAATTCATTATATACCTTAACAAACCTTAACTGCTTATCATTGGTTATCCCAATCTTTTTTAATAAAGTGTGCATTCCCATGGTTATGACATGTTATGACCCACTTGCTATCGGGGATGCCCTTCAAAGATCTTCAGAGTAGCCATCCATGTGCATGTTGAAATTCGCTTAGAACCCCGAAGCTGCCAAGCTTGTATAGATTTGTTTCAATGTAATATAGATAGATTGAACCATTGAGCCGTTGGAATTGACCTTTTTGATCTTTGTTGTGAAGCCATTTCAAGGTTTAACGATTCCATCTCAGGAACTTATTCCAGGTGGAAAGCAAATTGAGGCTGATCCTAAGTACAAATCTGAAAGTGCTGACTGTTTGAAACGATTCACAAAAATCGAGAAATGGATCTGAAGCATTGGTTTGTTGAAATATGTGGAAGGGGAATATGATGATACATATGATACATTGAATAGAGATGAATAGAGTATATATTTCTGAGTAAATTACTGGTTGGTGGTGTACCTACACCTCTGAAAAATATGACTTCGTCAGTTGGGATGATGAAATTCCCAATATGATGGGAAAAATCATCCAAATGTTCCAAACCACCAACCAGATTATAATAATTCACTAACCTGAAATAAGACCATTTTGGATCATTTTGGGATGTTTCCCCGAATCCTACGTAATTAACCATGATTCCCAGGGCTCGTGCAACGAACCAGTCCAGGAATGACTCAGGGAATCCCCTAAATCAATGAATTTCGGCATGTCCTACCGAATGACGCAATGTAAATGGATGCAACATATTCTAACGAGGCTTCTATGAGGAAGTTGACTCTGATTTAGGGCGATTCAACAACTATGATTAGTTAAATAGTCAACAAGTTGGAATTGCCATTTCCAAAAAAAAGAGGTATAAACACCGGATTTCCAAATTGGACCACGTTACAGGTGATAGGAGCGCTTGCCACATCGAGGGCACAGGCCTCAGTGATCTACTTCGAGTGGGCCCTGGGATTTGTTAAGCGGTTAGAAAAAAAAGGCGGGAAACAAAAACTGGGCAATTAAGTGAGATATAGTGGGATATGATCACCCAGTTACTAACTGTAGTTGACTAATTAATGTTTTATGGCCAATCGAAATGGATTTAGAGCTTGAAAAGTGGTCCATACTTGACATCGCCCATCAGATGTGCTCAAAAGATCTTCAAATCTCAGATGGGGTGTGATCTCAGATTGGTTCAAACTGCACTATCTCTAGGCAAAATTATTATTCAATCAATTGTAAAGAAGTTACGTGCACTTGCAACTGTAATATGGATGTGTCTGAAATAAAGATACCTCCAATTTTGATCAATTTTGATGTTGTTTCATCATGTTTCCCTACCACATTCGCCATCAATTGAGGGCGTACACCTATTTTCAGACGCACCCAAAACTATTCATGGGTGAATTCCACATCTGTTCATTAATGATTGGTGACACCTCCATGTTACGTGGCTCAAGTCCCTCTTTTTTTTGATGGCGAAAAGTCCCTATTTTCATGGCTGGTGTAACACCCCACATCCAACCCCCAATGGGCCACCCAGTCACCGTGCGTCTTCTTGTGACGCTTTCCCATCGCTGGCCTTGGCGGGCGGAGATAGATGTTGCATGTTGGATGAGATCGGAACCAATGGCAATCAGAATATGTAATATGAGAATTTTAACATCATCATCATCATCATCATCATTCTGTTAAAAAAAAACAACGTCAACAATAAAAAACATCTTTGATGTGTGTTCTCATGTATGTATATATATATATATATGTAGCTTTAGGATGGCTGCTGCTGATGCTGTGCTGCTGGTCCAGACGTAGATTCGCACTCGGCTGTTTTCCCCTCGCTTTGGTTCAAAGATTAAAACTTGAGTGCCAATCCATAAATTTGGTCATGCTTTGTCTTACCTTCCGGCAAACAAATCTGGCAATGGAAAGTACTTCGTCAATTAATAAATGATTTTCCCATTCAAATGTCCATTCATAGGGGATTTCCCATTGCCACGTTTGTTGACACCGGAGGGTAACACCAAATCTGATTTGGTCAGTCTTGAGCCGCCATCCAGCCATCTGTTTCTTTTCAAAAATGGGCTAGCCTGTAACAATCAAACGCTTCATCATGAGGACAAGTCAGTTTCCTTCTCAAAAACATATATAAGTTAAATTTAGTGAAAAATCCATTGGTTTTCCCTTGTGACACCACAATTCTCATCAATTTAATTTGCTTGATGAAGTCCCCATTTGTTGCTCTTTTTGCTGGACATCCCAAATCCTCTCGAAAATGGGCCACCAGACGTGCCATCACCCATGCTGCCGACCTGTGCTTGGCCGAAACCTATCGATTTCCATGGCGAAAAGCCCATGGGTTTTCCGGTGAAGATCTTCAACCAATCCAGTGGATACCTCAAGAAATGCCACTAATTTCGAGGGCCCCATGACTACCCCCTGGTTTCCACGTTCACAGAAAACGAACTGGAAAGATCCACCATGTTTC